TCTTTAGAAGACACCATGAAGGGTATGCAGAATTTAAGAGTGAACGAAACAGACAGAGATCCCTGTTCTGGTGGACATTCTAACAGGAGGGCAAATAATAAACCCAAAGCTACCTGGGGCAGGGGCCAGCACACTTGTTTGTAAAGAGCCAAGTAGTAAATATCAATGCTTTAAGCGTTGACGGCCATATAGTCTTGGTCATGGCCAAGACTTAATTCTGCTGCTATATAAAAGACACTACACAAACAAATGAGCACAGCTGTGTTCAGGTAAAACATTCCTTCAAAAGCAGGCAATGGGCTGGATTTGACTGCTAAGTATAGTTTGTCAGCCCCATGATGCAGGGTATTGAAAGTCGGTAAGTGTTATAGAAAAGAAAAAAGATGTAGGGTAAGTAAGGAAAATGAGGAAATTAGAATATTTAAATAGGATCATCAAAGTATGCTTCATTGAGAAATTACTGGAAAACAGAGAAGAAATCAGGTAAACTTTGGGAGAAGAGCATTGCAGTCAAAAGGACAGAGAAGGAATGGTCAGGCATGTTTGATAAAAGGCAAAAATGCCAGCATGGCTAGAGCAGAATGAATGAGGGGGCAGCAGTAAGACAGGAGATCAGAGACCAGATCAGTCTGGGCCTTGGTCCGGGAAGGTTCCACGTGCCAAGGAGCAGTTGAGGCCATGTTCCAGAGCCAGGAAGCCGCAGCTACTGAGCCCACGGGCCACAACTACGGAAGCCTCCACACTCTAGGGCCTGCGAGTCACAACTCATGAGGGCCTGTGCTGCAACAACCGAAGCCCGGGCATCTAGAGCCTGCGCTCTGCAACAAGAGAAGCTAGAGCAACGCTAGAGAGCAGCCCCTGCTTTCTGAAACTAAAGAAAGCTCGTGTGCAGCAATCCTAAAAAAAAACAGGATAGGGGGAAGGTCATTAGACTAACCTAAGCAAGACTTTAGTGGTGGTCCAGGTGAGAGTGGTAGTAGAATGGTGGTGATGAGTACTCAAATTCTAAACATATCTAGAAGGCCGTGACAGTAAGGTTTCCTGACAAGCAGGGTGTGACAGAAAGAAAGGAATGGAGGATGATTTCCCGTTTCTTCCATCTGAACAACCAGTTTCCATCAGGTGAGATGAGAAGGCCAGAGGTACAACAAATGTGGAAGGGAAATTAGGGAGTTCACTTGGATATGCTGAGTTGGATGTGTCTATTAAACAGCTAAGAGGTCATGTAAACAGCTGGATACGCAGTTTGGACATTCTGTAAAAAGTCTAAGCTAGAGACATACATTTGGGAATCATCATCTTTATATAGAAATTATCTATCAAAATTTTAACAGTGCTTTGATTCAATAATTCTTCCAGATAGCTATCTTAAAGGAAAATTTGAATATTTTCAGAGATGAAAGCACAAACTTTGAAATAGACACAGAGAAATCTAAATCTCATCAAAGAGGAACAGCTAAGTAAAAACAATACACTCAAACTAGGAAACACTCTAAAGCAATTAAAAGGAACAAATTTTATCCACATGTACTAGTAGGGAAAGAGACCTAAGACATATTATTAAATGAAAAAGCAACATGACGATACATACTGTGTGATCCTCCACTTATGTTAAAAAAACAAAACAATAAATTCAATGTATTGAGATGAGAATGAGACAGAGATACAGAATGGGAGATACTAAAGGGCCTTTCACTTTTTTACACGATATGTGTACTGAGAGAATTTTTATCAGTTTATTCATGAACTACTGATGCAAACTAAATAAATTTAAACTTAGATATCACAGTGGTGCAGATAAATTCCTCTGGGGCAGCAGGGGTGGGATGGTGAAGGTTAAATCCCTATATAGAAAAGCCAGTCAGTTTTCCAACCATTAAACTGAAAAAATTTGTCTGAAAAATGTTAACAATTTTTTAAAATGATGTTTGAGTTTTGAGTTCAAGTAATAATCATTCCATGAGTTTAAGATGTTTAACTACACATATTCATCAATCGATCTGACTTACTTCTTTCTGGAATCTCTCTAATGTAAGTTTTCTCTGCATTTGGTCTTGCACCCAAGGGTCAGCTGCATAATCAGATTCTAGAAGAGAAGTCCAACAATTTGCTGCATCTCTCTTTGTCTTTGTAAGAACAATACGGACCATTTTTCTATCCTCTAAACAAAAAAAAAAACAAAAATCACAAAGAAATCAAAGTTCAAAATTAATTTATATTTTCAGACACCTAATTAGGAAATGTTGACATACAATTGTTTTCAGTACATTCCTTTTACTATAGCTTACAAAGTTGCAAATCTACAGCAGGGGGAAACATACTAATTTCCAAGACAAAATTAACTTTTAAAGAGATTCTAAGAAATGTAATAGATTACCCTTACCCAGAGTCCATGTCCCTTCATCGGCTATTGTAGAGTCAAAGAGTTTGCCCTGAAAAATAAACATATGAGGTATTAAAAATTTAAAAATTCCATTAATTTTCATAAAGTTTTCATGATTTAAGACTTCCCTTATTTCCTATCTAATCTACATATAATTACTTAATTTGTTTAGAGTAGGCACAACATATTTTTTACCATTTCAACACATTGATAGGTGGCCAACCCGAAGTTCCTGCCTAGCGAGTGAAACAGAACCTAGTTTACACTATGGACTATATCCTACAGTAAAGAACACAGAGCGCTCTACAAAAAGATCAGGGTTCCTTAATTTTTAGAAGATGAAGAAATACTACTGATTGGTCAAATGTGATGTTAACTAACATCTGAAGTGTGGTAACTTTACCAATTATAATAAACTACAAAAAGAGCTCTCCTGCAGATATTAAGGAAAAATGGTATCTTAATATAAACTTAAAAAAAAAAAAACTGGTTCAATCTCTTTGTAAGGCAGTTTAGCATCAAAAGAAAAAAAAAATTAAAGCACACACATCCGTATATATGTGTGATGTCAGATGAGTTGTAACTGATTTTTCAGAAACTTTTGCTTTAAGAAAGAACTAAGTAAAATGTAAGTTTAAAAGGGATTGCACCTGCTCAAATCCAATTTGATTTGTTGCTACTTACCAAATTTTAGCTTTAAGAAATGAAATTAACATGTCACATTAAAAAAAGAAAACAGTTTTTTCATATGTCAATAAGGGGGAGATTGGGGAGTGAATACTACTTGTATAAATGTATCTAAAATCCTAAAGACAGAGTTATTGCCAAATTCCCTAGGTTACTGCAATTACTAAAGTAAATTTGAAATGTAATTTGAAATCACCATTCAGTAAATTATGAATAGCACAACTATTCCGAAAGGTCATCAAGAGCCAAGCTGACATAAATCAGTATCTTTCACATAAATCTTCCTTTTCTGAGACACTCAAAACACTTTCATATTAAGATAATAACAGCAACATGTAGTGCAAGCTTATTACATATTAGTTATTACCTACTCCAAGCTCTTCATTCATAGATACCATGCTACGTTTAAAACAATCCTAGGAGAAAGGTACTATAATTATACCACTTTGGAGATGAAGGCTTAGACAATGAATAATCTCTTGCCCAAGGTTACAAAACTGGGAAAACGGCAAAACCAGGTATACTCCCAAGCAGTCTCCTTTCACCATTACACAACAATGCCATCAAATATCTTGGGCTTCTAATCTGAGAAAGAAATCTAACTTCAAGTTAATTGAATTTAACTACAAATTTTAACAAGGAAGAAATGGGTCCCAGACCCAAAGGGTACTGATGAGAATAAAAGGGCTATCCGTTACTTTCTTCACAACTTCTTGACCACCGGCTTAAACACTCCACAAACTTACAGAATTTTTCCAATTTTAGATGAGAAAATACATCAACGGACATCACCTCCGAATCCTCAACCCAACATCTTTATTTTCGTTTTTCATTTCCTATAACCTCCTATATATTTATTGATTTAATTATGCCTCCCTGAGTAAGGGTACAGAATCTGGCTCGTTCACCGCGGTCCTCCCAGCACCAAGATCTGTGCCTGGAGGTACAGATATCAAAAATTTCCGTTTTCCTTCGACGATCTAGTTAGGCAGTTCTCAATGAAGACTCGCAGCGGAGTTTCATTTGGCTTGCAAACAAAGCAAGGTAAACGGGCTACTCATTCCAACCTCAAACAACGAACGGCCCTGAGGTCAGGGGCTCCGACCAGACCAAAATCAGGGTAATCTTATTCATCCTTCGGCCAGCCAGAGAGACCGAACGGCCTTCCAGCAATCTTTCCACGGAAACAATGAACTTGAGGACTCGGGAATTTGGGGAGGCCGGGAAGAAACTGAGCACAAGCCCCGACCTAGCCGCTACCTTGAGGATCTCGCGGCCACCCACGGCCAGCGCCACATGCCGGCTCTGCAGGCCGCACTGGATATCCTGGGCGCGAGTGCCTGGCGGCACCTGAACTTCAATGAACACCTCCTCCAAGGTCTGGTACCACTGGCCCCACGGCGTTCCGCACGGAACCACCCCACTGCGCTCCTCAAACGGGGCTGACATACTCCAGTCGCCTCCCGGCCGCGGTGGCACCGAGCAAGCGGAGTCCACGCCCGGAATCCCCGCCTCCGGCCACACCCCGGCTGTCTCCGCTCGGGTCACTGCACATGCGCAGAAATGTAACCTGCGGTCTCCGCTTGTCTGCGCGTTTCCGTTTCAGTTGGCCATTGAGGACGCTGGCAGGACCCAGGTTTAAGGAACTGAAATCCAGAAAAGTTCGCATCCAAGGGACGATGGAAGAGGGGCGGACCCAGAGAAGTTAGAATTCACTACACTGCCACCAATATGACGTCAAAAGCGACGGAAAACTCTCTGGTGCGAACTGCGCTTGCGCAAACGTGGCTAGTGCGTAGTTACAATTGAGTAACGCCAGTACTGATTGGGCCAGTGAGAAAAGAGAGGAGACAGTAGTAGCCTCCTATTGGATGGTGGCCTAAACAGGTCACGTAATTGAACGCAGCGAGAGCCGAGGATCCTGCTCTTTGGCCTTTGGCGTTCCGATTGGCTGACGTCGATGGGCGGGGGTTAAGCGGGGCGATTTGAATTTGAAGCCAACAGGCCTAAACAACCTGCAGGATAGTAGCCGCAGACCAGTAGAGACCTTCGGTTTTGTGGAGCTGGTCGTCAGCATGTCCTTCCCTAAGGCGCCCCTGAAACGATTCAATGACCCTTCTGGTGCGTACGGGGAAAAGTGCTGGGGGACAGGATATGTTCTCACGCCCCTTGTCCTTCTTGGCTTCCCTTCATCAAATAGGAGGCGATTTTTACGGTTGGGATGGGGCTCATTAAATTGATCCATTTTCCTGAAACACATGCTAAGCTTTTACTACTTGCCAAGCACTATTCAGGTTGAGCGTATAACAGTGAGCGAAGCAAAGTCTCTGCTCCGTGGAGTTTAATTCAGTTGGAGAATGCAGCCAATATACAGTTAGTGCTGTGGCTAAAGCCAAGGGAAGGGGATAGGAATTAGGAAGCATTGGTAGCTGTTGATCAAGTCCGGAGTCCTCACTTGTATGTATGTGTGTGTATATACACATACATATATTTTACTATTGCTTTTGGTGTGGACTTGTGAATTTCTTTTGAATGTCCCATTCAGGCTTAAAAGAAGAAAGATTGGTAAAGGCAGTTTATAGGTATAAAATTATGGCAGTAGCACTTACTGAAAACACTATAGATGAAGTAAAGGGAGCAATTCCCCCAAATCCGTAATATTCATTATTTTATCCATAAAAGAATGGAGACTTATATTTGCTCACTGTTATGCAACCAAACTGGCAGAGCAGGGGCCTGAAACCAGGCCTACATGAATCCATCCTGTGTTCCTGAGCAGTTAGTGGATGCTAACTGTATTCAGGGACAGTGCTAAGGTCTTCCCTACTGGGTCTGGTTTATTCTTTCCAACAGCCAGGTGAGGCACAAAGAATTGTTTTCATTTTACAGATGAGGAAACTAAGGGGGGGTTCTAACTACTGAGCAGCCTGCAAGTGACAGAGCTTAACATCACAGCTCGTGATTTATCCATTATAATGTATACTTTTAAGTCTTTCATTACATCTTAATTTCTGTCAGCTAACATACAAACGGAAATGAGCATCACTCTGCTCGCAAAGGGAGGCCAGTGAAGAATTGGATCAACATAAGCTTATTTTTTAACTAAAGACTTAAGGACCATATAATTTCTCAGACATTCAAAGAACTACTCTAAGTTCTGTCATTGTGTCCTTGGAGATTTGTTTATTTTGTAATAGATTGAACTGGTTTTGACAATTACATAGAACTTCAGGCTTACAGCTTTATTAATAATAAGTGACCATTTATTTGATGCTTAGTGTGTGTATGAGGCACTGTAGTGATTTCTTATGTTACTGCAGTAATCCAAACAACCAAAGTGTGAGGTAGACACTATTTTTTTTTATCCCTGTTTCATGAATGAAGAACAGTCTCAAATAGAAATAACTTTCCAAGGGTCTTAAAGTTAGACTGGAAAAAGAGAGAGTATGATGTTCCTATCCATCATCTTCTCCCTATGACTATAAAGTACCTGGCCCATACTATTGTCTATTGATTGGCAGACAAATCTGGAATTGAACCCTAATTAGCTGATTACTATACGAAACTCTGTTCCCAATCCTACATCCCCAGTGATTTTCTGTTTTTTCTGCCACACTGCCAAACTCTACCCTGACATAATACTGAGGTTAGGGACGTGATTGAGACTGTCCCTAACTTCAAGCAGTTTTGTCTAAGGTGGGAGATGGATAAGTACATTAGGATAGGCCATTACAAAACTGCAGGAAGTTCTGCGATAGGAATAGTACATGCAAGCTGCTATGGAATGGAGATTTCTAACTTGATGTGGGCATTTAGAGAAAATGGAAGAGGTGACATCAAAAAAATATAAAGTAATTGAACCAGATCTTTGCATAAGTACATGGAAATATGTTTGCTTTGAGACTCTAGTTACATGAGGTTATACAGCATAAATTGCTGGAACATAGAAATACAGTTTCGTGTAGTTTGTACTTTGCATAACATGGCTTTATAGATTTCCTGATGTATTGATATTAGACACAGATGGATCATCACTAAATTTTTATTCCAAGCTAAATCTTCGGGGCTAGACATTTTTAGTAGCATCATTGCTAAAATCTCAGTGACTCTCTTTGAGTAGATTTGATTCCAAATATTTTGTTTCTTAATTCAGTTCTTACTAATATCTGTGTTGCTTGTTCTGACATGTTCATTTCAAGACTGGACATGTCCGTCCCAAGACTGTCTTTGTCGTTTTGCTAAGTTGTCTGTGTTCCTTTGACCCAACTGAAATAAAGATCATTTGGGAAGATAATGATACTGTTCTTCACAGACAGGCCTACTTTATAGTATCAGATGTGCTAATTTTACATTTAAAACAAAACATTTTTTTAAAAATGTGTTAGAGTATAATTGATTTACAATGTTGTGTTAGTTTCGGGTGTACAGCATAGTGATTCAGTTATACATATATTCATAGCTTTTCAGATTCTTTTCCTATATAGATGATTACAGAATATTGAGTGGAGTTTCCTGTGCTATATAATAGGTCTTTGTTGGATATCTGCTTAACATATAGTAGTATGTGTATGTTAATCCCAAACTTCTCATTTATCCCTCCTCTCCACATTTCCCCTTTGGTACATGTTTGTTTTTGAAATCTGTTTCTGTTTTGTGAATATGTTAAGTTTATGTCATTTTTTTAATTAGGAAAGAAGAAATTTATTAATGGTATTTTTACATTTATGTTACTCACTTTACTATTGCTTTTTTAAATTGAAGTATAGTTGATTTACAATATTGTGTTAGTTTAACGTGTACAGAAAAGTGACTCAATTATTTTTTTCTGGATTATTTTCTATTATAGGTTATTATAAGATAGTGAATATGAATATAATTCCCTGTGCTGTACAGTAAATCCTTGTTGTTTATCTGTTTTAAACAGATAGTGGTTTGTATGTATTAGTCCGCTCCTACCCTTTTGTAATCATAAGTTTTTTTTTATGTCTGTGAATCTGTTTCTGCTTTGCTTATGGATTCATTTGTATTAATTTTTAGATTCCACATATAAATGATATCATGTGATGTTTGCAAAACATGTTAACATGTAAGTCACATCAAATGAGATTTTAATGTTTTATTTTTCTTCTAGGATGTGCACCATCCCCAGGTGCTTATGATGTTAAAACTTCAGAAGTATTGAAAGGACCAGTATCCTTTCAGAAGTCACAAAGATTTAAAAAGCAAAAAGGTAATGGATCCCAATAGAATAATGGTTATATGATCTTGTAAATTTTGAAGTTAAGGATAACATTATTTAAATTTAAAGATGTTGTAACATTTCTAAAATTGTGAAGCTACAGCTATATTTAAGTTTTTTTTAATTGATAGATTTACAAAAGGGTCAACTTCTGAATAACACTTTCATCATTACACTGTCATATAACCAGAAAAGTTAAGCAAGCCATTCACATAGACATGTAGTTTTCCTTTTGGTAATTACATTAATCCTCTCTTGGAGAATATTAGAGGGAATATTAGGAAAATCAAGAAAGTGTTAAAATGTGTAAAGAAATGTGGCATTTGTGCAACTAATTACTTGAAAATGTACAATCAAGAAAAGAATAATTTTATATTGCTTCACTAATAGTTGCTATAAAGAATTTGGGAACGGGTATTTTGTCTGAGCTTCCGACGTGTAAGCACCAAACATGATCTGTACAATTCATTTTACAGCAGAATCACAGCAAAATCTTAACGTTGACAAAGATACTACCTTGCCTGTTTCAGCAAGAAAAGTCAAGACTTCAGGATTAAAGGTGAGGTGCCCTTATATTCTAGCTGGTTTATCAACTGTATCATAAAAACATTTCTGAAAGGTATTGTATTTGACTAGAATGAGTTCAGTTTATAAATTAAGGTAATCAAAAAGTCTGTAAATGAGTAAAACATTATCATTGGAACTCTAGTAAGTTTTACCTATCAGCCTATGTCATTACCAATATGTTGTGTTTAAATGTATCCTTAGTTCAGAATTACAAGGTGGTCTCCACTTCTCAGTCATTTCTATAGATGGATAAGCTTTATAATACCTAGTGAGCCCTTAAAAATTACATAATGCTTTGATTTTTTGAGTTATCATCATTTGACTTTACAAAGTAAGGGAAGGGTAAATATTGACGAAGGAAGAGAAAAAATCATTCTAATGTCTACAAGGGGTTTCCCACTCAGAAACTGTCATGGAGTGGCAGGAGATTAATCCTTATCATCTTTATGTTAGGACTTGCGCAGGAGTGTACTATTACTGTTTCCGTTAGTTCATAAAGCAAGTTGTACTTTCTTAAGGAGTTGTCCAACTTGGTATTTTAATGTGAAAAAGATTCAGAGTTGGGAAAGAGTTCCCAAGCTCTTTGGTTAGAAAATCAAAGCTATAAGTTAAGCTTATTCTTGTTCATTCATTCAACAGTTACCTAAATCTCTTATTCTATTTAAAAAAAACAAAACCTGTGGTTGTCCAGTATGAAAATGATAAGCTCCATGTAGCTACTCAACACTTGAAAAATTGGATTTTTAACATTATTTAATTTTAATTAATGTGCCATTAAAAACTGATACTCAGTTCACTTGTTGTAATTCTTAAGTGTTTTTGGAATAACTTGAATATGTGAATCTACTTTTTCATCTCTGTGTTTTGTGAAGTCTAAATATAGTTAGATATTAGAAATATCAACAGAATCAAGTATCAGTTTCTAACTACACAATTAATTAAAATTAAATAATAATAAAATTAGCCACCACTAAAGACCTTGCATGCCATGACTAAGACTTGGCACAGCCAAATAAAGTAAATTATTTTTAAAATAAATAAATATAGTTAGATATTTCTATTGAAAATTTAGCAGTTGAACTGAGATGTACTATAAGTTTAAAATGGGCTTTCCTAGTGGCTCAGTGGTAAAGAATCCACCTGCCAATGCAGGAGACACAGATTTGATGCCTGGATCCGGAAGATCCCCTGGAGAAGGAAATGCAACCCACTCCAGTATTCTTTCCTGAGAAATCCCATAGACAGAGGAGCCTGGTGGGCTACAGTTCATGGAATCACAAGAGACTACTTAAGGACACTACTTAGCCCCTAAACAATAATATAAGTATAAAATATACAGCAAATTTTGAAGACTTAGTACCAAAAATATAAAATATCTTGCTAACAATTTTATACTAATGACATGTTGAAATATAGTTTTGATATTTTGGGTAAAGTGAAATGTATTATTAAAATTTTTACTTTTTAAATATGGCTATCAGAAAATTTGAAAATATATGCACGGCTTGCATTATATCTTTATGGGCAGTACTGATATAAAGATCCTTTTCTCGGAAATTGATGTAAATTTCCTGACTTGAATTTCTTGGAGAAACAGTTCTGAAATTTTAAATTAATTCTAGAATTCACAAACCAAAACTAAATTACATACAAGTTTGTATAAAACTCCTACATAATAGGCCTTCAAGGAAGGCCTATTTTGTTTTCTTGACCTTCCTAGAAAATGCCATCAGGTGGAAAATTAAACATGTGACAGGCCATCTGCCACATTAGAAATATATAAAATACATTTTGTTCAAGATATTTATGACTTTTCTTCCATCTATAGATGGATAAGATAGATATTCTGTTTTTGGCCATTATCTCACAAAGACTGGTGAATGTAAAAATAAAATGTAAAAAACACATCTTACTGAGAATAAACGCAACGAGTAGATTAGAATCAGTTTGTACTATTTCAGTTTTTCTTCATGTCTTTGCATTTGTACTATTTTTTGTATTTGGGATCTAGATTTAAGTTGATATCTCTTTTTAAGAGTCTTTTTTCCTTCTGAGACAGTATAATTAAATACAAAATGTATTATTTAACATTAGAAAAGAAGATCTGTTATTTTCACTGAACTTGTGAGCAAAAGTCTAATCTGTTGGGCTAAAAACATTCACACCTGAAATATTTTAAGATTTGAAGAAACTTTTCCTTCATCGGCTAGATAAATCACCTACAAAATATTTACAAGACTTAATGAAATGTTTAAAATAGAAATTAATCTTTTGGAACGCTTAATCTTTCCTGATAACTAAAGATCAAAATTGGCTATGATATTTGTGGCACTTAAAGTTGATTGTCACTGTTCTTTGATTTTTAAATAGAAGGAATCTCAGAAGAATGATAAAGATTTGAAGATGTTGGAAAAAGAGGTGAGCAATACTTTTAAGTTGCTGAAAAACATGGAGTCAGGAGACAAGGATTCTGTTGCTGTTTGAGGTGTCAGATAGTGAAACATATGTACCATCCAGACTGGTACCCACAGGGTAACCAACCCTTGGCTCAGGTACCACATTGTAGACCTTGATTGTCAATGTAGTATACAGTTAGCATACTAAGGGAGGCATATAAGTTCATCTATGTCATGAAAAACTGATAAGTAAAACTCAATATTTTAGTTTGTATGTGGATCAAATATTTACCTTTCCTCATAGCATACACTATTCCTACATGCTAATCTCTGTGTTAAGACAATAACTACCTAGAAAATTGCTTGGTGAGCATGAAATCCTAGAAGGTTAGTTGAATTGCAGTGGAGTTGTGCTAACTTAATGCATCTCTGCACTAAGGGATATATCCTTCCTCAAGGATAAAATGACCAACTGCATGTGTACTGCCCGATATGGTAGCCATTCACCACATGTGACTATTTAAATAAAATTAAGAATTCAGTTCCACTAGTCTCACTTTACCTGCTCAGTAGGCACTTGTGGAGAGTGGCTACCTCGCTGGACAGTGCATTTCCACCATAGAGGAAATCTTTGTTGGGCAAAACTAACCTAAAAAACCTGCTTACTTTTTTTTTTTAATGTGTGTGTGTGTGTGTGTGTGTGTGTGTATGGATGAGTATAATTGCTTTGCAATGTTGTGTTAATTTCTTCTGTACAACAGAGTGAATCAGCTATATGTAAACACATGTCCCCTCCCTCCTGAGGCTCCCTCCTATCCCACCTCTCTAGGTCATCACAGAGCACTGAGCTGAACTCTCTGCTATGGAGCAGCTTCATTAGCTATTTATAAAACACCTGTTTACTTCTGTAAGCAGGGCCAGGCAGGTCACGGCCAGCTTTGCCTTTCTGGCAGTCTTTTTTCTACATTTCCACTACTGACCAACTCTTTCTGGTAGACATATTAAAACTTTCCATTGATTACAGTTAAATGTTGGCTTAGGCCAGGAATATGTCAAGATAACTGTGAAAATCTCTGCCCTTGTTTCTCTGACTCTTTTTTTTAATCTATTTTAATAACATTAGCTATCATTTTATTGAGGACACATGCCTGTGATGTAGGGGTACATACTTAGAGATCTAATAACTAAGTGTCTCTGGAGATAGCTGATGAGGGAGTGGCAGTTACAGAGTTAGAACTAATCATTTGTATCAGTTACTTAATCTTTTAGTAAGAATTTTTTTACAAATACTGCTGTATATTATTTAACGCCCCCCCCCCACAAGTATTTGTTGTTTGTTTGACTAATTTGAATTGAATATCAATATTTAATTTAAAAGTAAAATTTCATGGAAAACAAACTTAGATTTCTGACTACTGTTGCAGAATAAGAAGATCTGACAGGACAATTTCTGTGTTCCCCTCCAGGGCAGCAATCTACTAGGCTTGTGCAGGGTTGCCTTCTTTTTTTTTTAATTATATTTTTTAGATGACATATAATTGACTTAAGCAATGTTGTACAAATCTCTGCAGTGCAGCAAAGTGACTCAGTTTTACACATATAAATGTTCTTTTTTTACATTTTTTTTTTTTAATATTCTCTTCCATTGTGGTTTATCCCAGGAGGTGATACATTTCCCTGTGCTATACAATAGGACATTGTTGCTTATCCATTCTAAAAGTAATAGGGTGCATCTACCTGGGTTGCCTTCTTTAGATGTCGCGTTTGCTGTCAGTCCTCACCTTGCTCTCTTATATTGTCTACTTGGTCATGTAGGCATTTGAGTTTACAAACCCTTCTTTATGCTTCTTTAACTGAAAAAAGTGTTATGTAGATAGTCTTAAATGTTCTTTTTTTCTGCTTTATAGTACTATGCTATGAACATTGGTTGTAAACCAATAATGTAAGAATAAAGAATCTTACAGTTGGGAATCTTAAATCTCGTTCAATTCCTGGCATCTAGTTCACAGCCATATATGTAAGTGGTATTTTTTACAAATACTGCTGTATATTATTTAACGCCCCCCCCCCACAAGTATTTGTTGTTTGTTTGACTAATTTGAATTGAATATCAATATTTAATTTAAAAGTAAAATTTCATGGAAAACAAACTTAGATTTCTGACTACTGTTGCAGAATAAGAAGATCTGACAGGACAATTTCTGTGTTCCCCTCCAGGGCAGCAATCTACTAGGCTTGTGCAGGGTTGCCTTCTTTTTTTTTTAATTATATTTTTTAGATGACATATAATTGACTTAAGCAATGTTGTACAAATCTCTGCAGTGCAGCAAAGTGACTCAGTTTTACACATATAAATGTTCTTTTTTTACATTTTTTTTTTTTAATATTCTCTTCCATTGTGGTTTATCCCAGGAGGTGATACATTTCCCTGTGCTATACAATAGGACATTGTTGCTTATCCATTCTAAAAGTAATAGGGTGCATCTACCTGGGTTGCCTTCTTTAGATGTCGCGTTTGCTGTCAGTCCTCACCTTGCTCTCTTATATTGTCTACTTGGTCATGTAGGCATTTGAGTTTACAAACCCTTCTTTATGCTTCTTTAACTGAAAAAAGTGTTATGTAGATAGTCTTAAATGTTCTTTTTTCTGCTTTATAGTACTATGCTATGAACATTGGTTGTAAACCAATAATGTAAGAATAAAGAATCTTACAGTTGGGAATCTTAAATCTCGTTCAATTCCTGGCATCTAGTTCACAGCCATATATGTAAGTGGTGCTTGATATATTTTTAGTTAAGTATTATTGGCTTAGAATACTGAGATAAGTTTGAATACAAAGCCAGTAAGAGTAGAGAATGCTTTTTATGTGACTTAATATAGCTGTGCTTTCTTGATACTTTTATACCAAGCATAAAGTCTATTTTGAAGTGAAGTGAAAGTGTCTGACTCTTTCCAACCCCATGGACTTTACAGTCCATGGAATTCTCTAGGCCAGAATACTGGAGTGGGTAGCCTTTCCCTTCTCCAGGGGATTTTCCCAACCCGGGAATGAACCTAGGTCTCCCGCATTGTAGGCGGATTCTTTACCGGCTGAGCCACAAGGGAAACCCAGGAATACTGGAGTGGGTAGCCTAACCCTTCTCCATCGGATCTTCCTGACTCAGGAATCAAACTGGGGTCTCCTGCAATTGCAGGCGGACTCTTCACCAACTGAGCTATCAGGGAAGCCCTAAAGTATATTGTGGCAAATGTTTTATGTGCACTAGAAAAGAATGTAAATGCACTTGTTGGTTGTAGTGGTCTATATACATCAATTAGTTCAAATCATTTAATAGTTTTCTTCAAAGCTATTATTTGTACTGATATTTTTGGGTGTTTATTAGTTATGAGAAAGGTATTTTTAGACTTCCAGCTCTGTGGATTAATCTCTTTTTGATTCTGTCAGTTTTGACTTTGTATATTTGTTACAATATTACTTTGTTGTGCATGAAAAATTTAAGATTATGTCTTCTCTTGAAATCACCTTTTGACCATAAAATTTCTTTGTTACTAGTAATAATGTTTGCCTTAAGTCTGCTTTATATAATATTAACATAGCCATGCCAGCTTTCATTTATCTAATATTTACATGGTAAACCTTTTCTATTCCCTCTATTGTCAGTCTATCAGTCCTTATATTTAAGTGCATATTTTATAAACATCTGAGATCATTTCCTTCAGCCTGAAGAATTTCCTTTAATATTTCTTGTGCAGTTCTAATGTTGACAAATATTCTCAGCTATTTTTTATTTTTTCCCTCTGAAAAATGTCTATATCACCTTCATATTTAAAGGCTGTTTTCATTGGGCATAGAATTTTATATTGGCAGATTTTCCCATACATTTTAAACATTTCGTTATCTTCTGGTTTCCACATTTCCTGTTGACAAATATGTGTTTTTTATTTTGGTTTTGGTTTTTACCCATTAGTTGCATCAGGTATGATGGCTGGCTAATGTCTACCACACCCTACCCAGAAGCCCTGTTCTGTTTTCCCAGAAATAAAGGTATTTAGCATTTTAAGCTGTAATTTGGGCTCCTATAATTAGAACTAGAGAAAAGAAGAACTTTTATAGGTAGCAATGCCTTAAAAGTAAATAAACAGTATAATTACACCTAGAAGTTTATGGCAATTTGAATTTTCTGTTCTTAAAATGCTTACAGATTTTCAAGATGTGTCATAAAGTAAATATGATTGCTCAAACAGCTAAGACTATTGAAGAACATCATATCACAATCAGAGGTTTTTCTAGAATTTTAATGTTTTGATTATCAGTAGCGCCTAGTACTGGAGGAGAGCATGGAGACTCCCTCTAGTACGCTTGCCTGGAGAATCCCCATGGACCGAGCCTGGCGGGCTACTGTCCGTGGGGTCACAAAGAGTTGGACACGCTGAGTGACCAAGCACAGCACAGCACAGCTTCTAGTAACTGTATTGGCAGGAATACGTGAGTTACTCATTTCATATCCTTGTTCCTGTCCAGATCCGCATTCTTGTGCAGGAGCGTGGGGCTCAGGACAGGAGGATCCAGGATCTGGAAGCTGAGTTGGAGAAGATGGAAGCCAAGCTAAACGCTGCCGTCAGAGAAAAAACATCTCTGTCTGCAAGTAACGCTTCACTGGAAAAACAGCTTCTTGAATTAACCAGGACTAATGAGCTCCTAAAATCTAAGGTATTTGAACCTCATAATCTTTACAATTGAATAAAAAACAAAAAGTTTTTTTCCTCATAGAGCTGTTTGGGAATTTTAGGCCTAGTTTAGTCATTTAACTTCAATATACTTTAAATATTAAGCCACTCCCATAGGAATTATTATTGCATCTTGCTTATTATTATGCATCTTGCTTGTATTTGGCACATAAGAGGATCTAAACAATCGTTTACTTTTTGTTTTTACATCTGACATTTTCTCACCCTCCTTCAAAGTCACTCCCAATTAGTAAGACCACTAAGAACGTTGCAGAATTTACATCTAGAAGTATCTTTAAAGATCTTTCTCTGCAATACATAATAGCATGTTAGCAGGCCTCTGTCTTAAATCTCTTTGGGAATGCAGTAGAAAATGAATAAATGTGTGAACTAAATATGCTCAGTAGACAAATTGTGTTTATCAATATTAATAAACTAATAGATCTTAAAGGACTTAACATGGTCATCCTGCTTTTTATAAGTGGAAGGAAGCTGTAAATCACCGTTCAGCTTAATAAGAATCAATTATTCAGGGCCTGTAATGTACTGGGCTCTTTGCTTACAAAGGAAGTAAGGATGCATAAGAATTAAACATGGGCAAGACAGCAGATTCCTGAGCCTCACTTAGGGAGATTATCATTTATTAGGCCTGTGATGGACCCTATAGCCTGCATATTTCAAAGTAGACGAGACAATGCAAATACAATTTGTTAAGCAAACACACTTGAATTAACCAATTTTTATAGGCAAAGCTCTGCAAAAATCTTGTTTTAAAGCCACACAGTAGGCTTCCCAGCATATACAGATAAATTATCACTGAAGCTGATTTCAAAAGTAGACCAGAAAGTCACATGAAGGAAAAGGACGGACAAGAATAGAAATAGTATAAAGCCAGTAATCCCGCTGTGGTTTAAGGACACTTTTCTCTACCAAAGTATGTTGTAAGCAAATAGTAGTCCCTATAATAGATAGAATAATCAATACTTAAGTGATTTTTACACAGCTGTAGTAGAAAATATTTCTCAATTTTTTATGTGTTTGCTATACTCAGTTTTCTGAAGATAATAACCAGAAGAATTTGAGAATTCTAAGCCTTGAGTTGATGAAACTGAGAAACAAAAGAGAAACCAAGATGAGGGTGAGTAATACCTTAGGTAAGTTTGCTGGAACTGGGGATCTGAACAAGTTCTCGTTTCCTAAAACAGATATTTCTGTTGTGTAGAGCATGGTGGCTAAACAAGAAGGCATGGAGGTGAAGCTGCAGCTCACCCAGAAGAACCTCGTGGAGTCTCAGGAGAAAATAGTACAACTTGAAGGGAAACTGTGAGTGACTAAAAGAAAAAGCGGTTACATTGTGTAACCGGTTTTGTATTTGGCTTTCTTGGCTAGTTATTACTCCATACTCATCTCATTGCCTGCCTCCACTTGCCCTATTTCTCTTCCTAAGTAACAGCTGAACCCTAATCGTTCCCTAACATTTTATGCTGAAAAGAAATATGAATGTATTATGTTTGTACATCTTCTGTATCAGTGTTGAGGAGAGGCACATAATCTTATGGCCGTTGTAATGAGACTGAAACTGAGAAGCTTTAATACAGGAAGCTATGATTAATGTACGATCCTAGATTTCTTTTAGTTACTCAATTGTAATTTGCATACAATAACACGCACAGATCGTAAGTATTCATTTCAGTGACTGGACAGTTGTGTGCTCCTATGTAACCACCACCCAAACAAGATCGAGAGCACTGTCGATCCTCAGAAGGTCCCCTCGTGCTCCTTCCTTCTCCCTGTTCCTCCCTGCAGTTCCCCCCTCAACCCCTACAACCGCTTTCTGACTTCCAGCATCATGATTTGACTTTTGGGGGACATTTATCATCACATGCATGCATACATGTGTATATGTGGCTTTTTTTTTTTTTCCTGGACATGCTGCTCGTCTTGCAGGCTCTTAATTCCCTGACCAGGTCTCAAACCCATGAGCTTTGCGTTGAAAGTGCAGAGTCGAGATTCATCCGTATTGTTGTGTGTATTATATGTTTGTTTCTTTCATTTCTGAGTAGTGTTCCACTATACGAATATACCTCCATTTGTTTATTACTCTCCTATTGATCAATACTGGGGTTTCCAATTTTTGACTATTGTCAATAAGATTACTATATATGCCTTTTTGTAGACTACTATATATGCCTTTTTGTAGACATAGTATTTTGTTTCTCTGAGTAAATATCTAGGAGTGGAATTTCAGGGTCATAGTATTGTGTACATATAATGTTTTTTACGTTGTTTGTTTTGTTGTTTGTTTATTTATTTATTTGGCTGTGCCATGTCTTAGTTGCAGCATGCGGGGTCTTTAGTTGTGGCCTGTGGGATCTAACCTGGGCCAGGGATTGAGCTTGGGCCTTCTTTATTGGGAGCATGGAGTCTTAGCCACTGGATCACCAGGGAAGTCCCCATGTAATGCTTTTTTAAAAGCTCAAAGGAAAAAAAAAAAAAAAAGCTCAAAGTGTTGATACAATTTTACACTCCCACTTCATAATGCATGATGGTTCTATTCATTCCATATCCTCACTGATATTTGTCCTGGAGGCAGGCACAGCAACCCACTCCAGTATTCTTGCCTGGAGAATCCCATGGACAGAGGAGCCTGATGGGCTGTAGTCCATAGGGTTGCAGAGTCAGACGTGACTGAATCGACTTGACAGTCATATACACACTGATACCTGATGTTGTCAACCTGTTTGATTTCAGCCTCTCTAGTGGATGTAAAGTAGTATATCATCTGTGTTTTTAATTTGTTGCTATTAATGTCAAACATCTTTTTATGTGCTTATTGACCATTCATATGCATCCTTTCATAAGATATCTACTAAAGTCCCTTGCCCCTTTCTCAATAAGTAACTGAATAAAAGGCAGCCTGGAAGAAAGGCTTTAAAGCACACAAAATTCTATTTTGTATGTGTGGTGGGTGGGAATTCTAAGAAAGCTACAGGAAAAGTGATATCTAATATACTGAGAGTGTTACAGATCTATAACTATATACAAACTATCATCATAATTCTTTTGTCAGAATATATTTGGAAAGCTTTATCACTTAAAAAAAAAACAAACTTGAACCTCCTACTTGCATAAATTGTCAACGTGAGAGGTCACACAAATTAGTGATTAGGAGTTTAGAACCTAGAGTCAGCTTGCCTGAGAGAACAGTATCTGGTACAGAGTAAGCAACTCTGGTACAAAGTACAGCTTACTCTGTACCAGAATAATGCTTACTCTGTACCAGAGATGCTTACTCTGGTACAGAGTAAGTATGATTATTGTGTATATTAATGTATGCTTTTTATTTTTTTAGTGTTTCAATAGAGAAAGAAAAGATTGATGAAAAATCTGAAACAGAAAAGCTCTTAGAATACATTGAAGAAATAAGGTAATATGAAGAGTAGTTTTTGGACTTTGCTTTATTGAAGTGTGATGAATACATAATTTTCATCTCTTTTCATTTAATGTTTCCTCTACTTAAATAGATGTGCTCTTCAACATAATTTGTTTTAATGCAGTTGTGCATCAGATCAAGTGGAAAAATACAAGCTAGATATTGCCCAGTTAGAAGAAAATCTGAAAGAGAAGAATCATGAAGTTTTAAGCCTTAAGCAGTCTCTTGAGGAAAATATTGCTATATTGTCTAAACAAAAGCTCATCAGGCTCCTCTGTCCATGGAATTCTCCAAGCAAGAATATTTGAGTGGATTGCCAGTCCCTTCTTCAGGGATTCCCAACCCAGGGATTGAACCTGGGTCTCCCGCATTGTGGGCAAATTCTTTACGCTCTGAACCACCATGGGAATCTGGGTTTTTCAAAGGTAATATAACTACAGCATTGTTAATATTTTTCCTTTTCTAGAAGACCTCATCAATAGGAACAGAGAACGGGATGAAAATCTAAATTCTGAGATACAAAGCTTAAAACAGAGGTCTATTCTTGAAAAACAAGAACATGAAGAGCTACAACAAAAAGTATTGCAAATGGATTCACTTCTGCAACAAGAGAAGGTAGTTTACAATATTAAAAAAGTCTAGTGCTTCTTTTATGTCATATGTTTCCCTATGTATCAGAAAACTTTAAATTGTATATATCCTTTGGTCCAGCAATCCTGCTTTTAGAATCTTATTCTGAGGAAGTAATCATGTCTTTGCTGCGTATTTAACTGATGTCACCAAGTTACTCATGATTTGAAAAATTTAAGCAACAGTTGAAACAGTATAGGGAAATTGTTTTAATTTTTTTTTCAGCACATTCTTGTGTTACATTACTACATAAGCATTTACAGTTATGTGGTAAAAGAGTGTCTAATTAGACAAAAAACAAAATGTGACTTTTTGAAATCCAGATTACATAAAGAACATTTTACATATCAATTAGAAACACAGGAAGTTCATTAAAAAATAATAATAATAATCCTGGTGATCCAGTGGTTAAGACTCCGAGCTTCTACTGCAGGGGTCACACGTTTGATCCCTGGTCTGGGAGTGGAGATCTTGTGTGGCTCTCAATGCTGCCAAAAAATTTTTTTTAATTAAACAATAAAGTTTTTTTAATGGGCTTAGGATGGAAACAGATAATTCTTAGCAGGAGAAATTCAGATAGCTTGTAAAATGAGAAGACACTGTACTTGTCATAATAATTAAAGGAATGTTTTGGTGTTTTTTTCCACTTCCAAGATTGACACAAGTTAAAACATTTGGTAATATGATATATTGGTGAGAATTAGTCAAGCAAGTAAGTACTCATGTGAACTAATGTGAAATATATTGTTGGGCAATTTACAGTGACAAAGGAATTAGGTAGATCTGTATATACTGACTTGAAAAGACCTCAACAACTCTTTTTATGATATTTTAAATGACCTTTTTATGCACAGTATATTTAATTTATGTTTTAAAAGAATGTAGATATATAGAAAAAGACCATAAGGCTTATAATGCAAAATTTAGTGGTTATCTCTGAAGTGGGAAAACTAAGATTGGAATGGGGAGTAGTCAAAGGCAATTTTTCGTTTATTTATAATGTTATGATTTTTTTTGCAATGGTGATTTACTTGTATTTATTTATTCTTATTTACTTATATAACTTTAAAATATTTCTATATAACATTGAAATCATAATACTCTTTATAGAGTATCATATGAGAAAAAATATATGATAAAAGCCAGTTGTAGAATATAATTTTAGTTGTCTAAGAAGTGTGTGTTGCATAGGAAAAAGACTGAAATAATATTTACCCCAATCTTAACAATGGGTAGGATATAATCCATGACAGAATGAATATGAATCTCTCTAGTTTCTCAGAAGCTCTCGAGTTTAGTGTCCATACTTCATTACTTGTAATTCTCTTTTGTCCTTAGTAAAATCTCACAGATTATTAAATTTGATTATTAAATTGTCAAAACCTTTCAGATTATTTTGCTCGCTTTCTCTTTATATGCAGGAATTATCTTCTGGTCTTCAGCAGAAGCTATGTTCTTTTCAAGAAGAAATGATTAAAGAGAGAACTCTCTTTGAGGAAGAATTAAAGCAAGCCCTGGATGAGCTGGATAAATTACAGCAGAAGGAGGAACAAGCTGAAAACCTGCTTAAGCAACTGGAAGAGGAAGCAGAATCTAGAGCTGCAGAACTAAAACGCCTCGAAGAAAAGCTGAAAGGGTTCGTGTTAATAGGACTTTGTGTTTATAATTGAAAGTTATTTTCTAGTACATTCTCTTGGGATTCTCACACCAATCATGTGAGTGGTGAGGTTGGAATTTCTTTACAAATAAGGAATGTTTTTGATTGTCTGTTTACTTTGGCTGTGCTGTGTCTTCATTGCTGCATGCAGGCCTTCTCGAGTTGTGCTGAGCGGGGGCTCCTTTCATGGGCTCCGGGGCACCCAGGCTTCAGCGGTCCTGACACACGGGCTCAGGCGTTGCCGTGCAGACTCCAGAGTGCAGGCTCATTCTTGTGGCACAGGCTCAGTTGCCCTGCGGCAGGTGAAATCTTCCCAGACCAGGGACTGAAGCCACGGTCTCCTCCATTAGCAGGCAGATTCTTAACCACTGGGCCACCAGGGAAGTCCACAAGTGAGGAAGAGACACAGAGAGGCAAAGTACATGCGCAGGAAGTACGATAGACAAGTATGACAGCCCAAGTCAACTAGACATAAAGTTACAGAATCGTCACTTATATCACAACTATGTATCTATCTCTTATTAGGTTCTTCTTTATTAATCCATTTTCTATTTTCTTTTAGTGGTTAGTGATTTTAAAAAACACCAAATTTTTTTATATATACCTGCATTTGGGGGAACAGTACCAAAGTATAATTAGGGGGATTGTTTCATACTGCAGCCAGCCTCAGGGAACAGGGACATTGAGAAACTTCAGTGGATGATGTCAATTTCAAAAAGAAAAATGAGATAATCATTTATTCTAACTCAAAGAAGTCAGTTCAAAGGTCAGGAGATAAAGATTTTATTACTAGATGTGTTAGTTAAATGTGTGATTCTGAGCAAGACTGTCTTAATTTCTTTTGTTTTCTTTTCATTAGATACAAAATAAAGGAGTTTTATGAGATTATTTGTAAGGTCCTTTCCAGTGTGGAAATTTTAGGATTAAGAGAAATACTTAGAAGTTGACAGGATTCCTCTAGGGACCAGGAAAAAGTATTTTTATTTTAAATCCTTTAATAGTAGTTGATTGCTTTTAGCTGTGGTGTGTATTTTTAAAATTCTATGCTCATTCCAAAATGAATTTGAACAGCTGTATATCTTGTTTCAGTGTCCAACTTAGCCTTTAAGCGAATAATGCTTCTTACAGTTTTAGTTTGGTGTGTTCTTTAAAATGCCTCTTATAAGCTTATAAGACTGTCAAATAAAGTTTATCACCATTGTAGAAATATGTAATATTCATATATTTAAAATCTGTATAGATTTGTAGTCTCTATTTATAAAGATGACTTGAAAGCCATTCTGTCTAAGCAAAATAGTCTCCTAAATAAGTTGTTAAATCTTTAAATAATTAGTAATTTATTTTGTGGTTATTGGTATAGTCACAATAAATCTACATAGTCTTGTAATTATTTTTTCAAAAGAACTCTTAAAATGAAGTTACCTTAACTGTACCTAGTGTTCCCTGAATATCTTAATTCAGAGAACTAAATTTTATTCAATCCAAGAGCTTCTTAACTTATAATCCTTCACATTCTTCAGTCTTGGATGCTGCCAAGATTCTGTCTTAGAATCTTTTTAATCTCCTTTCTTCCCCAAAAGTGTTTAAACTACCTACATAAGTAGGTATGAAAATAAAAGTACGTAAATTAGAATGAAAACAAAAGTAAAATAAGAATGGGAAAGATAAGATGAAGCTGCATGTAAATAAACATGCTAGCAGATATAGATCATGAATGGAGATCTAAGCTGTCCAGTGTGGGATATGTAATTCACAGTGTCAAAGGTACATCCTAGTCTCTTTCTTAAGCTAATGGTATATTAAATGGTATATTAAATTAAGATGCAGTTAGCGTCTTATCTTTTAACGGTTCCTTTTTCTTAGGAAAGAAGCCGAACTGGAGGAAAGTAATGCTGCTCATACTCAGGCCACCTTGCTTTTGCAAGAAAAACATAACAGTACAGTGCAGAACCTGGAAGATGTTACTGCTCAATTTGAAAGGTATTTTAATGGGGAGGCTGCTCTCTCAAATATACATGAGCAGACAAGGGGTATTTATCTAGGGACATCTGTCAGCAAAACTACATGAATAAAACAATTGTTATTACTTTAAATTCCACAATGCCCAATCATAAGTGGGTATTTCATGTTACCTGTAGTCTTAGAATATGTAGTGATATCCCTCTCCCAGTACCCACTTCAGATTTCATACACATCTGTCTGACTCTCCTGACGTCATCATTTTCTTCACAAAGAATCCAAACGCTTTTATTTCCACTTCATGGAACCTATAAATGTACCTGCATCTATGCTCACCCTATCTTCTTCCCTTCTATTACAGATGAGCTATCTCATTCCTTAACCTTTAGTGGCCTCTTTCCGTCGTTCATCCCTTATCTCTTAATTTTCAACCTTCTAGAATTTTTCCAGTCAGTATTAAAACATGTTAATGTGCCTTTGTCTTTAAAATACATCTTTTTTAAATCTCCCTTTACCCCCCACTTCTTTCTGCACTTTTCATTCCCAATAACGTTCTTACCCCCAAATCCTCCTCATGTTTATAGCCCATCTTTTTTTCTTTAATTTACTTTATTGAAGTATAATTGATTTATAGTGTGGTAATTTCTACTGTATATATTCTTTTGTACACATTTTGTACATAATCCTGTGTACACATTCCTTTACATATTCTTTTCCATTATGGTTTATTTCAAGATATTGAATATAGTTGCCTATACTGTACAGTAGGACTTTGTTGTTTATTCATCCTATATATAGTAGTTTATATTTATAGTTTATAATATAATCTCATAGCCCATCTTCTTGATAGATATTATGATGTATCTACTTCCTATCCAGTCTACTTATTTTCCCTTTTTTAAAAAAAAGTTTATTTTGGAGGGCACTACAAATTACAAAGGATAATACAGCAAATACTAGTACATCACACAGTCTCACATTGCGTGTATTAATGTTAACATTTTTACTTACTGTATTTATATAATTTTGGATGGAGGGCTCTTCTTTTATCTATTTTAGTATATTCAATAAAAAGATACAATGTGTACATAAATCCTAAATCATAAAGGTAAAATTAACATTCATGAGCTCATAGAAGAAAATCTATAAACCAAAAGAGTTTCAACAGTTGCTGTCTCTGAATCCTCCACTGTCCCATCTTCATTCCTCCCCGAAACATGTAACACCACCTCAAAATCTACATCAGTTACTTCCTTGCTTTTTTCCTATGTATAATTTTATAATGTATGTCCATATGAATAATATATTACCTAATTTTGCCTTTTCCAGAACTTCACCAAAAATGTCCTGGTAGTGTATGCCATATCCTGGGACTTGCCTTTTCACTCTGCATTATGTCTGTCTTTAGGGTTGAATCACAGTATTGCCCGAGGCTATAGTTTGTTCATGGTCACTGTTATAGAATTGTTGTTCAGTCACTTAGTCATGTCCAACTCTTTGCAACCTCATGGACTGCAGCACACCAGCCTTCCCTGTCCTTCACTATCTCCTAGAGTTTGCTCAGACTCATGTCAATTGAGTTGATACCATCCAACCATCTCATCCTCTGTTATAGAATATTTGAGCTTATCAGTCTACCACTATTTATCCATTCTCACTTTGGGCTTTTGGTTTGTTTCTCATTTCTTTCATTTTATTAACAGTACTGTGTATATTCTTGTGGTCTCGTCTTATATACCTGTAAGAATTACTCTAAAGCCACATTTAAATGAATGTTCAACTTTAATTCCAAATCATTTTACAAAGGGGAGGTGAAAATCTACACTCCCACTAGTGATGTTTGAGTTCTCATTCATCTACCTCCTCTCCAAAGCTTGTTAGACTTCATAAATTTTGCCAGTATACTAAATGTAAAAGGACCTCTTCTTGTGGATAATTCATTTTTTCTTTTCTGTGAAAAGCTTATATATGACTTCTGTTCATTTCTCTAGAGGATTATCTTTTCTTGGTTGATTTGTAGGGTTTTTATCAGTGATATGGGTGGCAAATATCTTACAGAATGTGGCTTATCTTTTCATTTTCTTTATGGTTTCCTGTGATGAATGGCAATTCTTGATTTTAGTGTAGTTAAACTTATCAAGTTTTATGTGAACACTTTTGCATACAAAAACTTCTCTCTATCCCAAGAACTTAAATAAAGATATTCACCTATTTTTTTTCTAAATTTCAAAATTGTACTTTTCATTTTTCCACCTAGAACTGATTTCTGTATGTGTAGTGATAAGGAGATAAAATTCACATTTCTTTTTCCAAATGAATAATCAATTGCCATGGATAATCAATTGCCTAGTACCCATTCATTAACTAGTACCTTCTAATCTCAGTGATGTGTTCCTGCATCTGATCTGATATATTTTGACATACGTATCGTATATATATATGTATGTGTGTGTATGTTTGTGTGTGTGTATATATATGTTTTGTTTTGTTTTGTTTTAAGTTTTTGGCCATGCTGTGTGACATGTGGGATTTTAGTTCCCCAACCAGGATCAGACTCACTCCCCCTGCAGCGGAAGTGCAGAGTGTTAACCTCTGGCCAGCTGGGGAAGTCCCTATATATTTTAATTTTTATATGTCAGCATGCATATAAATTTATATATATATGACAAACCTAGACAGCATATTAAAAAGCAGAGACATTACTTTGCCAACAAAGATCCGTGTAGTCAAAGCTTTGGTTTTTCCAGTAGTCACGCATGGATATGTGAGTTCGACCGTAAAGAAGGCTGAGCACTGACGAATTGATGCTTTTGAACTGTGGTGTTGGAAAAGACTCTTGAGAGTCTGTTGGACTGCAAGATCAAACCGGTGAATCCTGAAGGAAACCAACCCTGCATATTGTTTGGAAGAACTGATGCTGAAGCTCCAGTACTTTGGCCACCTGTGACAAAGAGCCGACTCACTAGAAGAGACTGTGATGTGGGAGTGATTGAGGGCAGGAGAAGGGAACAAAAGGGGACAAGATGATTGGATGGCATCACTGACTCAATGGACATGAGTTTGAGCAAGCTCCAGGAAATGGTGAAGGACAGGGAAGCCTGTTGTGCTGCAGTCCATGGGGTCACAAACAGCTGGACACTACTGAGCAACTGAACAACTATATACATAGATAACTTTTAGTGCTGTTCTCAACTCTGAAAAGAGATTTTCCTTCTTGCTACTTTGAAAACTTGTGCCTTTAGAGACTTTTAGTTATTCTGTGATGTCAGTCACCATTAGTATGTGAATAGCATTAAAATTTTATTTCTTCGAACCTGACCTCTCCTTTCATCCTCTACCCGTATATTCAGCTGCCTACTTGACTTCAAGTAGATCTCTCACCGTCATCTGGTATTAACCCCACCAAAACAACTCTGGATCATCTTTGTCTCCCTTTGTCCCTCTCGTGTCTCATTCTTGTTGATTGCAGTTGGTGACATCTCCATCTTCTGAGTTTCTCCTTCCATAAGTCTTGAGTCATCATAATCATCTTCTCTCCTTTTCTCCCAACATTCAGTCTCTTTCTTGATTTTTTCCATTCTGCCTCCAAAAGAGATCTCACATCTTTCTTTTGCCAGCTCCTTGGTCCAAGCCTCCTTTACCACTCACCTGGGCTGAAAAATAATCGTCCTCTGGTTAATCCTCCAGTTCAGCATTCCTGTCCCTCCCCAGTCATTTCTTTGCATATCTCTGGAATAATCTACACACTTACTTAAGAGACCTTTGAAGTATGTCCTTTATCATTCAGGTAAGCCCACTGTGCCCCACCAGCAAGGACTCATGCCTCTTGTTTCTGCTCCTGCCTCTCTGGTTCATTAGATCCCTATCACAGCTCTTTTGCTCTTTTTTTTTATGGTTACGATTTTATTTATGTAGTTTTGGCTGTGCTGGGTTTTCGCGGCTGTGCGGGCCTTTCTCTCGTTGCAGTGAGTGGGGGCTGCTCTAACTGCAGTGCGCTGGCTTATCAATGAGGTAGCTGTTCTTGCTGAGGAGTGTGGGCTCTGGGCCCTTGAGTTCAGTAGTTACAGCACAGACTCAGTAGTTGTGGCCACAGGCTTAGTTGCTCCACAGCATGTGGGGTCTTCCCCAGACCGGGGATTGAACCCATGTCTCCTGCATTGACAGGCGGATTCCTTACCACTGAGCCACCAGGCAAGCCCCATTCCCAGCTCTTAATGGACTGTGTTCTACCTGCCTCTGAGCATATACGCATCTTTTCCCCCTGAAATACTTTCCCCAATTGGCTCGCTAAATCCTTCTTACCCATCATATCTCAACTGAACTGTAAATTCCTCAGAAAATCCTTTTCTGAGTCATGAAGCAAAATGTAGGTTCTCCAGATTTATCAGCTAACAGGTTCTGTAGTTTTCCTTCAAACACTTAGAACAAAGTTAATTATGTATTTATTTTTCCTTTTATTTTGCAACAACCTGAAGAGGCATTTTTTTCTCTCTCTTACTCTCAAGATAATAAAGTATGACAGTAGGTAGAGGGATTGTGTGGGTTTTTTATTTTGAGGTAATTTCCATGTTTGGTAGTTGATTTCTTTTCATCTTTGTTCGTAGATTCCGCCCATAGTAGGCACTTGACTCTTTTCTTTAAAGGAACTGCGTAAGTCATATAAGTTCATGTTAAGTATTAAGTTGACTTCAAAACATTGAATTTTTACCTGTGCAAATGTGAAAATAGATAAGGTTTTGTTTGTTTTACCTAAAAGTGTATAAAATGTAAACCAATCAGCTATAGATTTGTCGTGCATACATTAGTTAGAAAAATCCTTTACCCTTTTTTTGTTTTTGTTTTTGTTTTTTAAATAAGCTATAAAACATCAACAGCAAGTGAGCTAGAAGATCTTAAGGTGCAGAATGAGTCACTTAAGGAAAAACTGGCCAAGGCTGAGCAAAGTGCAGAGGATGCCCAAGATCAGATATTGGCAACTGAGAACTCAAATCAAGAATATGCAAGGTATGTAGGAGAAATAAAACCTGCCCACACCTGTGGTCTTTAGAACCATTAGGATAATTGGATGTTGCTGCAAGCCAGCTACTAAGTAATGCAGAAAACTAGTCCCGTGGCTTGCTTTTGATGATCTTCAGTGGTGAATTATGAATTTACGTAGTTTGAAAAGTATAATTCTTAACAGTTTTTTGAGATTCTATTTTTAAAAAAGGTAATTGAAATGGCTATAACTTTCTTAATGAACTCTTCTCTCTCAAACCCAAGGATGCTTCTAGATCTGCAGACCAAATCAGCACTTAAAGAAGCAGAAATTAAAGAAATTACAGTTTCTTCTCTTAAAAGAATAACTGATTTACAGAACCAACTCACGCAACAAAGCGAAGACTTTAAGAAACAACTGGAAGAGGAAGAAGCAAGGTAATCTAGGTTGAAAACTGAAATGCCATGCGTCTCAAGTTATTTTTTCTAGTATACTGTGTTTTTAAATTTAATTTTCCCTTACAGAAAAACTGGAAAAGAAAACTCAGTAGCAGAATTAACTGAGGAAATGAATAAGTGGCGTCTCCTCTATGAAGAATTATATAATAAAACAAAGCCTTTTCAGGTCTGTCAATTAGGACTTAACTTATTTGTATTTGAGAATTCGTATTGTTCCCTGTCACAGGCATGACAGTGACATGGTTCTTCTGAAATATCATTTTGCTGTGCATTTACAGCGCCAGTCTAACTTCCTATTATGGAAGGTTTATTATAGATGTTACTACATTATTATGCATACATTTTTAATATGGCCTTTATAGACCTAAATATTACCCCTTAATAAGATTCTTAAAAGTTAATACCTTAGAAGGCTCTCCTGATATGAACATTTGATAATCTATGTAAATTTATGACACTTATTTTGTTATGATCTTTCTCAGTGTTGCTCTAATTAACACTTAAAGGATAAATGCAAATCTGGGTATTTAGAGTCAGAAGACAGTATTGGTTATAATGTGTTGTGGTAATACAGATTAGGCCAGCTAGCGGGTCTTTCCCTGTTTTTTTCTTTCTGTTTCATTGATCTTAGAAATGAAAAACAACTTTTTATTAAAAAAAAAAAGACAATTTATGGAGAGCCCTAAGAGTAAGTCAATATAATCTATTTTTGTCTTTTGCCTTTTTTGTTGTTGTAGTTGTTGAGTTTCTTATTTAAATATTTGTTTACTTATTTGGCTGCACCAGGTCTTAATTGCAGCATGTGGGATCTAGTTCCCCAACCAGGGATCAAACCTTGCCCCCTGCATTGGGAGCCTGCAGTCTTCTGCAGTCTTAGCCACTGGACCACCAGGGAAGTCCTGTCTTTTGCCTTTTTACTTTCTTTCACTTTAGTTTTCCCTATAGTTAATATGAGTCAAGTAGGATTTAATAGTTTTAAGTCTAAACTTTACAAAAAAATCTTTTTCAGCTACAACTGGATGCATTTGAAGCAGAGAAACAGGCTTTGTTGAATGAACATGGTGCGGCTCAGGAACAACTAAATAATTTAAGAGATTCATATGCTAAATTATTGGGTCATCAGAATCTAAAGCAAAAAATCAAGCATGTTGTGAAATTGAAAGATGAAAATAGCAATCTCAAATCGGTTTGTAAAGTAACATTTATTTCTATTGATATTGGGGTGGGTGGTTTTTATTTTATCAGGATAATGCTGACTTAATAAAATGAGTTGGGAAGTGTTTCACCCTTTCTATTTATGGAACAGTTCATGAATTATTGGTTTTAACTCTTTACTGAATGTGTAATGGAATTCAGTGGTGAAGGCATCTGGACCTGGACTTCTCTCTGTGGATGGTTTTTGATCAGTAATTCAATCTCTTCACTTATTATACTAGGTCTATTCAAACTGACTATTTCAACTCAAAACCTATGGGATGCAGCAAAAGCAGTTCTAAGAGGGAAGTTTATAGCAATACAATCCTACCTCAGATTGACTATTTCTTCTTGAGACAGTTTCAGTAGTTTGCGTCTTTCTAGGAATATGTCCATTTCATTTTCTGATGTGTTGATTCACAATTGTGTGCCATATTCCCTTATATTCCTTTTTATTTTGATACTGTCAGTAGCAATGGCCCCTCTTTCATTTCTGATTCTAGGAATTTTGAGTCTACTCCCTTTTTTTTAAGTTCCTTTACTTCTGCAAACATGTTTATAATGGCTTTAAACCCTTTTTTGGATAAGTTCAATATTGGATAACTCCCAGTTTTTGTTGAGACAGAAACAAGCAGTTTTTGTTGCCTGCTTTTCCCCAGTATGTAAATCATGCTTTTCTGTTTGCATACTTTGTACTTTTTCTGTTAGAAAATGGATGTTTTAGACAATGTATTGTAGCACCTCTGGGTACTGCTGTCGCCTTGCAGGTATGTTGTTATTTTTTTGTTTAGTGAAGTCTATTCTTCCTCCCTACAGAGGCACAAACTAGTGCCTCTGATGTTGCTGCTGAGAGAGGTTCAGTGTCAGGTGTGTCCACAGTCACCCTGAGATGACTCTGGTTTGGGTAAGGCTGCCTCCCTCTCTCCCTGATCACACATAGTTGCTGGCTCCCCTCTGTTATTTTCAACATTGCCCAAGGTCATAAATTCCTCTACAGATTAATCCAGTCTAATTCTGGTTCCTTTGTTGGAATTGTGTCTTAGGTCAGTGATTGACTTTGTTCTGGCTAGAGGAGGTCCCCTCCCACGTGTCTTATTCACCACTTCTCTTCTACACACTAGGCAATTTACAGTTTAGCCCAGTTTTTAATCACTTCCCATTCCCTTGCACCACACAGCCTCTACTGTTCTTAAGGGCACCCTTCAGCTTGAACTGCTCTAGATTCTGTTGTAAATGAAGTCACTTGCTCTGGGAATAAATTCAGTTCAGTTCAGTCACTCAGTTGTGTCCGACTCTTTGCGACCCCATGAACCACAACACGGCAGGCCTCCCTGTCCATCGCAAACTCCTGGAGTTTACTTAAACTCATGCCCATCGAGTCGGTGAAGCCATCCAGCCATCTCATCCTCTGTCTTCCCCTTCTCCTCCTGCCCCCAATCCCTCCCATCATCAGGGTCTTTTCCAATGAGTCAACTCTTCACATAAAGTGGCCAAAGTATTGGAGTTTCAGCTTCAGCATCAGTCCTTCCAGTGAACACCCAGGACTTATCTCCTTTAGGATGGGCTGGTTGGATCTCCTTACAGTCCAAGGGACTCTCAAGAGTCTTCTCCAACACCACAGTTCAAAAGTATCAATTCTCTGGAGCTCAGCTTTCTTCACAGTCCCAACTCTCACATCTATACATGACCACTGGACAAACGATAGCCTTGACCAAACAGACCTTTGTTGGCAAAGTAATGTCTCTGCTTTTTATTTTTATTTTTTTTTTCATTTATTTTTATTAGTTGGAGGCTAATCCCTTTACAATACCAGAGAGGGAACAGCATTGGTTCAAACACAACAGGACATTGCCTTTTTTAAAAAACAAAAACCACTTTTTTATGGATCTGCTTGAATAATTGTTTCTTCACTTGCTATTTTACTTTGAGGCCATTTAAAGAGGCTTTAAGTAGTTGCTTTTTTTTGTAATTTTTTTATATCACTAGGGAGCAAGTCAGCAGAGCTGCTCATGCTATCTCCCCAGTAGTGATGCTCAGCATTTAATTTGGTGTTGAACTTTTATCAGAAATACAACTTTGTACCTATAGAGGGACAGGAAGATTTAAATGACTTGTTATCTTCTTTGTCATAGCTGTTCATTTTGTAATTTATAGTCTGAAAGCCTGTATGCAGTAGGCTTTTGCCATTAAGGTTTGAAAAATGAGCAACTGTGGAATTGTCAGTAATATTGGTAGCACATTTCACCAACATGATCTTCAATAATTATTTACTGACTGTATTTTTTCTTACAATAGGAGGTGTTAAAACTCCGTGCTCAGCTTACGAAAAGAAAACAAAGTGAAGCAAAACTTCAGGAGGAACTGAATAAAGTTCTAGGTATCAAACACTTTGATCCTTCAAAGGCTTTTCTTCATGAGAGTAAAGAAAATTTTGTTCCCAAAACTCCATTAAAAGAAGGTAAGAAATGAATAAACGTACAGAACTCTGTTATCTTCCTTTGGATTTGGTTTCACAGCACTGAGCAAGTTATCTATCTTTATGAACTGTGAAAATCTGTTAACAGTTTCTGATATATCTTCCTTGAAAACTTGTCTTCTTTCTCTCTTTATTGTTTTATATTTATTTACTTATTTGTTTGTTTGGCCACATAGAGTCTTAGTCGCAACACGCAGGATCTTTAGTTGTGGTGTGCAAACTAAGTTGCGGCATGTAGGATCTAGTTCCCTGACCAGGGATTGAACCCAGGACCCCTGCATAGGGAGTGTGGAGTCTTAGCCACTGGACCACTAGGGAAGTCCCCTTGTCTGCCTTTTTTGCTCATACCCATTCCCTACCAGAATTAATCCCTCTATCACACCCTTGACATTTTGTAACCTAAACATCCGATTTGTAATTTTGGAGTAGATTTTTCTTTTTTTCTTTTATTTTACTTATTCACGTTATTTTTGGTTGCACTGGGTCTTTGTTGCCGCTCTTGGACTTTCCCCCGTTGCAGCGGGTGGAGGCTCCTCTTCACTGCGGTGTGAGGGTCTCTCATTGCGGTGGCTTCCTTTGTTGCAGAGCACAGGCTCTAGGGCACAGGCTTAGTAGTTGTGGCACGCAGGCTTAGCTACTCCTTGGCATATGGAATCTTCCTAGACCAGGGATTGAACCCGTGTCCCCTACACTGGCAAGTGGATTCCTATCCACTATGCTACCGGAGAAGTCCATTTTTCTCTCTTTCTTGACTACAGTCTCTGTATCTTTGACAATAAACTGAAATTGGCTGAAATAGCGAATGAAGAAATATAAATAAAATGCAAGTATTGTTTCATCTTCCTTAGAGAAGGTAAACTGCTTTTAGTTCATAATGATGGATGCATTAGTTTTAATTTAGAAAACTAACACTGCTGTTTAATACTCCTTCCAGGCAATACAAACTGCTCCTGAGCTCGTAGTGGAGTTTCGAGAATCATGCAAGTAAACATCTGAAAAACCTGTTGAGGACTATTTTTTCTTACTATGTTTTTTATTATTATTATTGCTTACTATTGTGTTTATAATATTTGTTAATCTCTTATTTAATACTAACTTCCTGTCCTTACATATGTGATAGGAAGTTTGACTGTTTTTACCAGTGTTCTCTGACATTCTAGTTACTCTTGTCAGTACTTCCTCCTTGATACTCACCCTTATTACCTCATTCTAAATGTTCTGACGCTTTCCAGCTTTGCTCACTCATCCCATGAAATCAATAGTCTTTTAAAAATCATTCTCATACTATCATTTCCCTATTCTGAAACCTTAGGTTCTTTTTTAGTTTGATGCTGAAGACCTTTTCTAGTCTGAACGTCTTATGCTAGGCTAAAACACCTTGGCTTGTTCTTGCCTCTACTTTAATTCTCCTAATAATGTTCATTCTGTCCCACCCATCATCTGTTTATCCAGTTCAAATAAGAAATAGAGGCAAGCTTTTTTCCATAGTTATCTCTTACCAAAGCCACTAAGTTGGTTAATAATTTGCAGATTTCTAGACCCCATCCCAGACCTCTTAAATTACAATCTGTGGTTTGGTCTAGAAATCTGCTTTTTTTTTTTCTTTCATAAACAGCAGTTAATCCTTAGAAACTCTGCTTGTAACCTCTTTTTTGCCCCACCACACACCAAGTGTGGGATCTTAGTTCCTGATCGGGGATCGAACCCATGCTCCCTGCTTTGGGAACACGGAGTCACAACCACAGGACTGCTGGGGAGGTCCCTGCTCATAACCTCCTTAGAGAACTTGTCTAGCTGCTTGACATCTGCCTGATTGCTGGGTGTTTGATTAATATTTATGTATCATGAAATAAAATTACATGTCACTGACCCAATTATACAACTTCTATTATATGAAATCACATTAATTCTTCTATTTAAGACGCATTTATTGTCTCTGCCCTCCTCTCCCTATATTGTCTCCAAAATCACTAACGGTATTAATAGTATACTACTTAGAAAGTGGTCATTCTCCACCTAAAATACCTGATCTACACAGTTGGTATATTACAAGCCCACTTTTTGTCATGTTTCTCCATTGATGGACCAACAGAGACTATTTTAATCAGGATAACTTGTCTTAATTATTTAATTAGATCTTAATATATAGTTAAGTTCAAAGGAAATGTAGAAATTAGAAAAACCGTCTAATAAAATGGAATCATTCAAGAGTTCTGCTTTTAGCCAAGATGCAGTAACATGGATCAGATTTATTGCTCCTCCTCCTACCCTACACACACTCACACACAACACTCATGCACGCGCACCCTAAAACTGTCCAAGAATGACAAAGTATACAAAAGAATGATTTTCATGATGTTAAACGTGAAAAAAAAAATCCCTAAGACATGACAATCAAGGTGAATCCTACAGTTCATCCATGTTTACAGCCTTGAGAGAGTTTGCAAACATACATGAAAGGGGAACCCAGGCAAAGCCCATCCAACTAACTGAGTTGAAAAGTCGGAACTGAGATCTGCGGAGACCAAAGATACTGGAGACTGCAGGACAGAGTACTGAAAGGACAAAACTGCAGGGGAAAACTGTGGAGATGCACAAAGGGTCCCTCAAGGAATCGGCTGCATACTGACTAGTTATGCACATGAGGAAACTGCCTGAAGCCTGGGGAAGAACCATCCCCCGAAATTAAAAGTAACAGTGCCCAAAGTTCACACAGGCTAGAAACACTGCCTGTTCCCACCAGCCTAACTTGAAAACCTCATGATTTATAGAGAACTAAGATATGCAGAAGGGTTCAGTGTGGTCTGGGGAATAATCAGTCCTAAAGTAAGCACTCTGGTCCCACCTAACAAATCTTAAAAAAGGATGACCCAAGAGGATCGGTCCTTTCTAAGAAAATTATTACATTTTGGAACAAAGCTCAAGAAACTGCATAGGTTTATAAAAATGTCAAGCACCCAAGAATGTAAGTTTTACAGTTTCTTAACATCCAATCAAAAGATCCCTAGACATGCAGGGAGGCAGGAAACATCATCTCCTAAAGAGAATATTCAATCAACCCAGAACTGACATAGAGGTTAGAATTATCAGAGGACATCACAATGGCTATTTTATATATGCCACATATACCAAAACTTAGTGAAGATATTTAACATTAAAAAACATCCAAATTGAACTTGTAGAGATAAGAACTACAGTATGTAAGAAAAAAACACAAAACTCTCAATGGGAGTACAGAGAGAAGACATTGCAAAAGGAAAGACTAGTGAACTTGAAAACATAGCAATAGGAACTATCCAACATGAAACAGAAATGAGGTTGAAAAAATGAGCAGAACACCAATGTACTCTGGGACAACTTCAAGCAGTCTAACATATATGTAATCAGAGTTCCCAGAGGAGGGAAGGAGGGGACAGAAAAATCACTTGAAGAAGTAATGGTGGAAATGTTTCCAAATAGGAAAACTAGAACCCTAGGAACAATAAATATGAAACATGACAATTGCTGAAAAGCAGTGATAAAGAAAAACTGTCAGCCTAAAACTATCTCAACAAAAGTAGTTTTCAGAAGCAAAGATGAAAAATTATTTTCAGATGTAAAAAAATTTATTACTCTCTAAAATATAATTGACTGTTAAAAAGAACAGCAAGAGTGTGGTCTGTAGTTTAGACATCTTTAAAATTACATAATGTCAGCAATAGCTCAAAGCCTAGGAGGGGGGAAAATGGAAGAATATGATTGCAAGTTCTTTATACTATATGTAAAGTGGAATAATGTTACTTGAAGACAGACTGTGGTAACTTAATATATACTATAAACCCTAATAAAATCACTAAAATAAAAGACTTGTCAATAAGTCAACAAAGATGAAATTATAAAGAAGCAGTCAATTCAAAAGGCAGAAAAAGAGGAAAAGGGAAAGAACAGATGAGTCAAAAAGAAATTAATAGTATTATAATTAAATTTAATCATATCAACAATCAAATTAATGTAAATGGTCTGTTTACTTCAATTAAAATGCAGAAATGATCAAATGAGATTACAAAGCAAGATGACTACATGCTGCCTACAAAAATACACTTCATATATAATGACAGAAATAAGGTGAAAAATGCAAGAATGTTAAAAGATACACCAAGCTGAAGGGATAGGAAGACCTAGTCCCTCCTTCCCCTGACAAACAGTAATTCAACAACAATACAGAGACAGATTCCCTTTGGAAATGGGGAAACGATAGTCTCTCCAAACAAATAGCATTGGGAAAATTGTATATCCAAATGCAAAAGAATGAATTGGAACCTTACCTTACACTATACACAAAAATCAACTCAAAAAGGATTAAAGGCTTAAACGTAAAACCTTAAACTAAAACTACTATAACTTAATTAAATTTAATCATATCAACAATCAAATTAATGTAAATGGTCTGTTTACTTCAATTAAAATGCAGAAATGATCAAATGAGATTACAAAGCAAGATGACTACATGCTGCCTACAAAAATACACTTCATATATAATGACAGAAATAAGGTGAAAAATGCAAGGATGTTAAAAGATACACCAAGCTGAAGGGATAGGAAGACCTAGTCCCTCCTTTCCCTGACAAACAGTAATTCAACAACAATACAGAGACAGATTCCCTTTGGAAATGGGGAAACGACAGTCTCTCCAAACAAATAGCATGGGGAAAATTGTATATCCAAATGCAAAAGAATGAATTGGAACCTTACCTTACACTATACACAAAAATCAACTCAAAAAGGATTAAAGGCTTAAACGTAAAACCTTAAACTAAAACTACTATAACAAACCATGGAAAAAACTTTTATGATATTGGTCTTGGCCGTGATTTCTTGGTTATGATACCAAAGGTCAGTAAAAAAAAACAAAAATGGACAAGTAGGACTGCATCCAACTAAAAAAGTTTCTGCCTAACAAACAAGGTAAGTGTTGGCAAGGATGTGGAAAAATTAGAACCCTTACACACTGTTGGTGGAAATTTAAAATGGTGCAACACGATGGAAAATACAATGGAACTTTCTCAAAAAAATTAAAAATGCAACTACCATGGAAGTCACTCAGTCATGTCCGACTCTTTGTGACCCAGTGGACTGTAGCCCACCAGGCTCCTCTGGAGCTGGATACTGGAATGGGTTGTATCTTTCCAACCGAGGAATCAAACCCAGGTCTCCTGCATTGCAGGCAGACTTTACTGACTGAACCACCAGGGAAGCCAGTGGTCCAGCAATCTCACTTATGTATATTTATCCCAAATAATTGAAATTGGAATCTCAAAGAGATACTTACACCCCCATGTTTATTGCATTGTTATTCACAATAGCTAAGATGTGGGAATGGATGAACAAAATGTAATATACCTGCAGTGGAATATTATTAAGCCTTTAGAAAGAAGGAAATCCTGCCACATGCAAGAAATGGATGAACCTTGAGAATATTATGCCAAGTAAACTTAACCAAACACCAGAGGACAGAATCTGCATGATTCCACTTAACATAGGAGGGCAAAATAAACATTTATGTAGCCAATGATAGTTTCAAAGTACATGAGTCAAAAAATTGATAGATTTACAAGGAGAAATAGAAAAATTCATTACATAGATATATCAGTAGCCTCCCTCAATAAATTGTAGAACAAATAGAAAACTGGAAAGAATATAGAAGATTTAAAAAATATTCTGAACCAACTTGATCAAATTGATGTTTATAGAAATCACCTAACACGAGCAGAATATTTTGTTAAGTGAGCACAAGAATTTGCCAAGATTGACTATTTATACACTAGGTCATGAAAACAGTCTCTAAATTTAAATGGATTCCAGTCATACCAAGGGTGTTGTCCATTGACAATGGAATTGAATTAGAAGTCAATAAAATAAGTCTCTGGAAAATCGATAAATGGTTGGAAATCAATTATCACACCACTAAATGAGATACTGGTCAATGAATAAATTTGAAAGGAAATTAAAAACTATTTTGAATAGGTTGAAAATGAAGACACAATATATCAAAGCTTGTAGAATGCTGCTAAAGCAGATTTAGAGCAAAATTACCTCACTGGTGGCCTTTATTTCCAAAAAAGAAATGTTTCAAATCAATGAACTCATACTGTAGAAATAAGTAAAAGAGCAATTTAAAACCAAAGTAAGTAGGGGGAAAACAATAATAAAGGTTAGAGCAGAAATCAGTAAGCTCCAAAACAAAAATAAAAATCAGTGAAAAATATTTCATTGAGAAAAACCAATAAAACTGATAAACCTCTAGCTAATCAAGAATATAAAAATACATAAACTACCAATATCAGGAGTAAGAAAGGTGACAATATTACTTGTGTGGGTGATGGATACATTCACTACCTTGATTATGGTGATGATTTTATCGGTACATATTGTATTTATCTTTGTTGTTCTTGCAGTAACGAAAGCCCAGCACAGCCAAAAGTCAATAAATAAAATTAGTTTTTGAAAGAATTAGTTCATTTTGAAACTAAAGTTTTAATACTGAGATTATTTTCTCAATATTGGGCTGTTTTCTTTTTTTTCCTTTTTCAAATTGGGCTACTGGTTTTAAGTGGCTTTATTTATTTACCTGAAGACCTTTTTTGGAGGGTCTTTGGGGATTATTTTTAGTTTTATCTTTTATTGATGTAAGACCTATTTACTTTTACATGCATTATTTTTAGTTTAGATTTGTTTAAAGAAAACTAGTTTTCAACCTTTGAAAATCTGGAACTTTATTGGGGGGGTTGGGGGGTTCAGAATGAGTTTGTTTTTTAATCATTAATGGAAGAAAATCCCCTAAGGGAAAAAAAATATGCCCATTAAACATTTTGTAGATGCTAATGATTTCTTCTCTTTCAAAAATATGAAGACAGTGGAACAGTTATTAGGAGGAATCTTTGGCCATCTCATGCGAAGAGTTGACTCATTGGAAAAGACCCTGATGCTGGGAGGGATTGGGGGCAGGAGGAGAAGGGGACAACAAAGAATGAGATGACTGGATGGCATCACCGACTCGATGGACATGAGTCTGAGTAAACTCCAGGAGTTGGTGATGGACAGGGAGGCCTGGAGTGCTGCGATTCATGGCATCACAAAGAGTCGGACATGACTGAACGACTGAACTGAACTGATGCTACCACTTGTATGATGGTTTTAGACTGAGAATATCAAGTTCCAACACCTAACCCCCTCCCATCTCCAGCATTATACA